CTTTTTGGGGTGAGGGATGTCACTCACGAAAGAACACCCCTCTAAACTATGGTTATTTTTTTTTTAAATAAAAAATCTTAATTAAAGCAAGAGTTCAGTATTCCCTATTTACTTTACTAACTCTTGACACTAAACTGGCAGCCTCACTCCAGCATTGTGTCCCCGGGAAAGGCAGTTGACTCGAATTTCCCACTTGGCTCGGTCCTTTCGGAGATGGACGTTAAACTTGACCATCAATGATTTATTTATAGAGGCACCAGCCATCCATGTCCAGGTTCTGTTAATATTAAACTCTGATGCCCCGCCTCTTAAACAACCTAACAGTGTTGATAGGGGGTTAAACTTATACTATTTCACCATTTTCACCTGATGTCTTTCTCTCTTATATTTCAGTTCCCTGAGTTTCGCATCAAGAAGCAGCTGATCTTGTTTGTGTCGCCAATCCTTATCCTCCTGGGCACCTTGGGGAACATGTTTTCCTTCATTGTCCTTCGTCGGAAGCCGATGAAAAAAGTATCCAGCTACGTTTATCTCGGTACAGTATGAATTTTGATGCAGTTATTAATTTCAATTTCAGTTGATTAATATTATATTCTTTAATGGTCATGGGTAAACATATCATTCTGCTTTTGACATATATATTTTATTATTTTATGTATGTATGTATGTATGTATGTATGTATGTTTGTATGTATGTATGTATGTATGTTTGTATGTATGTATCTATCTATCTATTATTGGGTATGGGTCATGTCCTTTCTCATTCTTTACGCAAAAGGTTATCCTAAGCATTTGTCTATATAGAGTGTATTATACGGAATGCATTTGTGTATGTATGTGTGTATGTGTGCGCGCATGTGTGTATGTATGTGTATGTGTGTTTGTGTGTGTAAGAGAGAGAGAGAGAGAGAGAGGGGGGGGAGAAAGAGAGAGAGAGAGAGAGAGAGAGAGAGAAGGAGAGGGAGAGAGAGAGAGAGAGAGAGAGACAGAGAGAGATTTTAAAAGAGAGAAATGAATACGTAATAAAACTCTACCTTAAGACCATTTGTATTCTAAGAAGAAGAAAAAGGAAAATGCAATAATTAGGACAGAAAAAAAGAATTATGTTTCTAGCTAATTTTCTAATTAGTATTGTCTTTTAATTATTATCCATATCTATATCGGTGCCAGCTGCTTCCATCTAAGTTTACGGAAAACGAAGACAGCGTTCACGTTTTCAGTCAAACACATCAGGTGTCTTTCTGACTGACCACTTCCATTATTAAAGAAAACCATAACTATTTATAGCTTGTCTAAAAACGGGAACGCCAAATCCGCCTCTGTGATTGATGACCTTCCACCAGCAACTGTGTCACGACGTGGTGGAATCAGACGCTCGTCAGTTTTGTTTTTGTTTTTGTTTTTTTTTGTGTTTGTTGTTGTTGTTTTTTTTTGGGGGGGAGCTTTTTGTTGCCTTTTGAAATGTTTTTTTTTTTTAATCTGTTGGGGGGGGGGGGATATGGGGTCAATGGTAATATCATAGGTCTCGTTCATTTGTGTTTATTTCAAGTAAAATAAATACACCCTTTTCTTGAATCAAAGTCGAGATATTTGCTTTGAAGGAAGTGGGGTCACTTAGTGTCAGTGGTAAAATTAAAGACAAAATGGCCTCCAAAGTTTGACAAAAAAATCCAAAGTTTTCGTGTGCTTGGAAACTGCAAATTTACATTTTTGTTTTTGCCTTTGATGAGGGTTCTTTTGTAAAATTCCCACAAAGCGTGTTTTTAAATTGACAGAAAAGGTTTGGAGCCAAAAATAAAATCGAAAAAAAAATAGTCAAACATGTGTATAAAAAAAGGTTGGGGGTTGTTTGTTTTTTCGACATAGATCTATATTATTTTGACGAGCGTCTGATTTCCCAAAAGGTTGTGAAACGTGTCTAGGAGCCTCGAGTTCTGTTTTGGGGAAACCTTTCTGAGACCTTACAGCTCTCCTTGTAGCATACGCCATCATCAATCATTTATATCCTCTCAGAAGGCGTCTATATTGGGAAAGCAATCCAATTGCACTTAGGATCTGCTCAGGTTCTTATCATGTGACTGCACCTCTGTCCGCCATATTACCTTTTGCTAGACTTCTTATTTTCCTTTGACCAAGTGGAACCCACCTCGGCGCCTCCATTTCTTTTGATCTTATCTATCTCCATCTCGTTTGTTTCAATTCATTTACCCCACTGCCTTCAGTTTGATGGCTCTAATTGTTTTAAAGTGTTGGCAAAGTCATACCATCTTGGGCTTATCGAAATATTCTTCAAGCAACCATTAATGGAAGGTTGGAGTTTCGCTTTAACACATTTGAGAAAAGAGAGCATGAAAATTATAATTCATTTAGTACTCTTTTTAAAAAATTATTATTAACAAGGGTTTTTCAACGCCCTTATCAACACTATTTAGATAATTTCGAAGGTGGACTTCAACCCTGTATTTCAAGGTTAATCTCGGCCGAGAAGGATACAACATCTCAGCAGGAAGATCATGATACTTGATAAAAACTCATCCCACATGATAGTCAAATTCAGATCTTCTGAATCGCACGTTCAAACCGTTGCAGCATAGACGCCAGTTTAGAATGGGTGTGCATGAATAAATAAGTAGCAGGATAGTGTGAAGGAATGTCGCATGGAAGAAAGGGCTTTGTTGGTGTTAACTTCCCTTGTCTGACCGGAGGAAATCTGACAACTGTTTCACCGTGATGATAGGCTTATTGGCTACAATAGCAGAAATGTGGGGAATTTGTTTTGGGGGGAGGGGTGGGAGACGGAGGGAGGGGTGGTTTTGTCGACTGTAAGACGGAAACCGGTAAAAGACTGCCTGTCTGTCTGTTTGTCTGTCTGTCTGTCTGTCTGTCTGTCTGTCTGTCTGTCTGTCTGTC